CATTTTTCCCCGCTATCATTCTGGATGACTGAGTTGTTCGTGTCCATTGTTCTCTTAAATCCCCTAAATCCATTTCATTTTGGTAGTTAAATATGACTCTTCAAGGATGACAGACAATGGAGAGTTCAGGGAATGATTCTTATATACATGTTGTCTTAGACATTTTCTTCTTGTGCTATTGGTATAGAGGTACAAAATATAACTGTATATATACTTAAATATGTTTATGCAGCATACTTATACTTAGCCGGTGTATTAGTTCATTTTCACACGGCTGATAAAGACATACCCAAAACTGGGAACAAAAAGAGGTTTAATTGGACTTACAGTTCCACATGGCTGGGGAGGCCTCACAATCATGGCGGGAGACGAAAGGCATTTCTTACATGGCAGCAAGAGAAGAATGAGGAGGAAGCAAAAGTGGAAAGCCCTGATAAACCCATCAGATTTCATGAGACTTATTCACTATCACCAGAATAGCATGGGAAAGACAGGCCGCCATGATTCAATTACCTCCCCCTGGGTCCCTCCCATAACACGCGGGAATTCTGGGAGATACAATTCAAGTTGAGATTTCAGTGGGGACACAGCCAAACCATATCAGCTGGTCATTAATTCTATGTACATTTTGCCTTAGAGAATCTGCAGCAATCATTAATGAGGCATACAATAATAAGCATATAATGGATATGTTTTTATTCCTAAGAAAATGTTTTAGGGGGTCCTGAAGACTACCCACATGTTTGGTGACTCACTTGAAGGACTCGTGGGACTAGGCATACAGATGCATACATGGGTAGGCTACAGAAAGGATGCCCAGAGGATCAGTGAGGGAAAAAGACAGGTGGAGCCTGGAGAAATCCAGGCACAGCCTTCCTATGTTGTCTCCCTCCCCTTAGAGAGCACACTGAGTTTGCTTCTTTCTCCAGCAGTGAGAAATGCAGTAATAAATGTGCAATGTTCTGCCCAGGGAAGCCCATTAGAGATTCAGCATCCAAGGTTTTTATTGGGAGTAGTCACATAGGCACCCTCTGCCTAGCAACTACAAAATTCCAGACTCCCCAAAGGAAAGCAAGTATTCACCATAAATCACATTGTCTGTATAGTCTAGGCATAGCAAACCAGTCTACATCAGTCAGGGAATGACTAAATGCCAAATTCCCAGATGCAAGCCAAGGGCCAACCTTACAAGCAGACTTTCTAAAGATAGTAGCCTCAGATCTGCTGTTAATTCTTTTCTCCACTGTCTTTCCCCATGGTCCTTGGCCACAGTGTCTTTGCAATAATATTACCATCAGTAGGAGTCCATGGAACAGGGTGAGACCAACCTGCAGCATTGACCTCAGTTATGCCATCCGTGGGTCCTGAATTGAGCCAGTTAAAGCAAATCTTATTAACCCCAAGGTCTAGCCTAAATTTCTATATTATCCCCCTTTTAAAAAAATGCCTGGCCTGAGGCATCAATAGGCATAGCACAACTCTGGCCAGTATGTAGAAGCTGAACTGAATGCCTTCCAGGGCTGAGGCAATGTTATGATAGTCAGCCTGCACAAATTAAAAGTCCAATCCCAGAGGGCACATGTGGTATCCCTGGAAACAAAGAGTTGACAATTGTTAGGACACCCCAAGCAGGACATACATTACATATTTTATTAAATTTCTTATACAAATTTCTCTTTTATTCCTTTTAATCCATTATCTTATGAAGTTTATCTTTTGTTCTTGTTATAACTGCTAACCCATTTATGGTTAAAATTTCATCTGAAAAGTCATTTTTTTCTACTTCTTTTTACAGGATCATCATTGGTGGTGGCGATCTTTTTTAACCAGAAGCTTTATAGCTGTTTATCTTTTTACGTATGCAGTTCATTACTTCTCTGTCAAACTTCAAATCACAGAAATTGTGAGCTCTATTTTGTACTTTGGGTACACGATGATCATTGTGTTGATTTTCTTCCTTTTCATAGGTAACTACAGAATTACTCAGTATATTTCAGACTCTCTTAAGAGTCTTGGAGATCGCCATAATGTAATAAACATCAATTAACAATTAGTGGAAGGAAAAGGGAACAAAGTCATCATGTTCATTTTTATGCGTTGGAGATAAAAGATTGCAAAGCCGAGGAACCTGGAGGGACCTTATGTACTTAGCTACAAGACTGTCCCTTGTGAATGTTTTAAAACAGGGATATGTTCCAAAGCACAGAAAGGGTTATGTGTAATCACCTTTGAACAGCCTCCAAGCATAAAAAGTAACCTACTTGAATAACTTTTAAATTAATAAAATTAGATTAATTAAATATGTCATCATATAAGCAATTATATGTGAAGGACAAGATGTATACTTCTCAGAATTACTCATTTGGGGTTGTTATTTGGATTCATATGTGATGGGAACTTTTGTCTAGATTAATGCTTGAAGCAGGTGGAAAAAAATGGAATGTTTTATAAAATGCTCCACTTGGAGAAATAATGAAGTTGGAGAGCTCTGGGACCTTCTGAATGCAAGCAAAGTAGCATTTCTGCCTGCATCATGTCAAGTTCTGGCTTTAACTCAAGTCATATCACTTGTATAGGTCAGATTGGAAAAGTTCAAGGATTTTCTCTGATTTTAACCCTCAGGTTCAACAAATATATAAAAATAAACAATGGAAATTTGTTAAAAATCAAGACATTCAGACAAATGTAAACATGATCTGAGAAACCGGCATCTTGGTGGTGGTTCCTTTTTCTACGTAATATCTAACATATATATTACCTCTCATGTACTACTGGTCTTAACTACTCAGTAAAGAAGACACCATGTAGTCCTACTCTAATCTCTCAGCCACCAGCAGTTCTATTTAAAACTGAAGGTCTGAGAGCTTCTCACCATTCTAGTCCAAGTAGACTCCTTTTGCTTATTTTTTTTTTAAACTTTTAATTGAAACATGTGGACGGAAAAGCGCATGCATTATAAGTGTACAGCTTGATGAGTTATCACAAAGTGAACACACCTTTATAACTAGCACCTCCACCAATAACCAGTACATGATTAGCAGCCCTGAAGCCGCTGTTGGGCCTACTTCCACTTCCTTTCCACAGGGCACCCACTATCTTGACTTAGCTCTAAAAGGGAGAGTGTAGGAAGGAAAGATTGATATGCTGATAAAAACTAGAGTTAAGTGACAGGAAGAGGAGGGAAAACAAGAAAAAGCACAGAGTGGTACAAGGAGAATCATCCAAATGATGTTGAAATGATTTCACAGAATAGGTGTTGAGTGGTGTTAAACAAAGATGCCAAAGAGGGTGAAGACTAGGGAAAGGCCATTCAATTTTGCAAGAATCACCCTTTGAGAGGCAGTATTCAATGTGGCGTGAACTGCTGCTGCTTGTTTTTTGAGGTCTTTCTGTACAAAGTGATTCCTGGTCACCTTAGCCCATAACAGTATAGATTAATTTGGCCCATCTTTGAATTGTATGTAAATAGATTTACAAACACTACATAATAACACTCTTTTCTGTCTGATTTCTTTTGTGGCTGGTTTCTTGCCCTTCATATTGCTTGTGAGAGTCCTCCACATCACTGTGTGTAGATGCAGTCTGTGTCCCTCATGTCTTTTGTTTTAGATCCTCCTTCTACCCTGCCCAGTGAGTTACTAGCTTTTATATTTGTATAATATGCAGGTTGGATGTATGCAGCACAATAATTTCAGACTTCTGTTTTCCTCATTATCTAACACTTTGACTCAGGTTGCCTTTTTCTGGGAGTCTTATATTACAACAGCTTCTTTTAAAACAGATGTACTCTTGAATGGTCACATTGCCCACAAAAATCTTTTTCTGTTCCTTGGCTCCAGCACCTGTATTCTAGATTCTGTCACCACACCACATTGAACACTGCCTCTCAAAGGGTGATCTCTTGCCAAATTAAATGACTTTTCCTAGTCTTTGTCTTCTTTGGTTTCTTTATTTAACACCACTCAACATCTATTTTGTGAAGTCATTTCAACATCATTTGGATGATTCTCCTTGTACCACTCTGTGCCTTTTCTTGTTTTCCCTCCTCTTTCTGTCACTTAACTCTAGCTTTTATCAGTATTTCAATCCATCCTTTCTACACTCTCCCTTTTAGAGCTCATTCAGTCCCATGGCTTCACTTATCTCCTCAATGCTGACTGCTCCCCAACCTCTATTTCTAACCATAGTCTCTATCTGGCTGAATTCTGAACATTTCCATGTCCCACTGGTACTGCAAACTCACCATGCCCCCGAAATGAAGTTAGCACCTCCTTCTCTACAAACTGACTTATCTTAATTTCTTTTCCTCTTTGACCATCGTCACTAATCTCTGATCTCCTTGATCTATTTTGAATAAATCCTTAACATAGCCCTGCTGTATTAGCCCATTCTCATGTTGCTGATAAAGACATATCAGAGACTGGGTAATTTATAAGGGAAAGAGGTTTAATTGACTCACAGTTCTGCATAGCTAGGGAGGCCCCAGGAAACATACAATCATGGTGGAAAGGGAAGCAAACACGTTCTTCACTTGGCAGCAGCAAGGAGAAATGCAAAGTGAAGTGGGAGAAAAGCCCCTTTTAAAACCATCAGATCTCGTGAGAACTCACTATCAGGAGAACAACATGGAGGTAACCACCTCCATGATTCAATTACCTCCCACCGAGTCCCTCCCATGACACATGGAGCACATGGAGATTATGGGAACTACAATTCAAGATGAGATTTGGGTGGGACACAACCAAACCATATCACCTTCCATGATTTGTAGCTGATCAATCATAACTTCCCTATTTATTCTTCTTAGAAACCTCTTGTTGCCATCTATTCCTTTTTTTCAGCATATACTCCTACAGTCTTAATCCAGGCCTTTATTTCTTTGTCCTTGGATAATTGCAATAGCCTCTTATTTGATTTGCTGGACTCTAGTCTGTCTTTTTCTAACACACTTTTCATGCTACCTGCTTTCAGGTGAACTTATTTTTTTCTTATTATAATAGTGCAATTTGAGTTCCTGGGCAAGATGGTCGAATAGGAACAGCTCCAGTCTGCAGCAACCAGCAAGATCAATGCAGAAGGCGGGTGATTTCTGCATTTCCAACTGAGGTACTTGGCTCATCTCACTGGGACTGGTTAGACAGTGGGTGCAACCCACGGAGGGCAAGCAGAAGCAGGGTGGGGCATCATCTCACCCAGGAAGCACAAGGGGTTGGGGAACTCCCTCCCATAGCCAAGGGAAGCTGTGAGGGACCTTGCCCTGAGGAAGGGTGCTTTCTGGCCTAGATACTATGCTTTTCCCATGGTTTTCCCAACCCACAGACCAGGAGATTCCCTTGGGTGCCTACACCACAAGGGCCCTGGGTTTCAAGCACAAAACTTGGTGGCCATTTGGGCAGACACCAAGCTAGCTGCAGGAGTTTTTTGTTTTTTGTTTTTTTCATACTCCAGTGGCTCCTGGAACAATAGCAAGACAGAAATGTTCACTGCCCTGGAAAGGGGACTGAAGCCAGGGAGCCAAGTGGTCTTGCTCAGCGGATGTCACCCCCATGGAGCCCAGCAAGCTAAGATTCACTGGCTTGAAATTCTTGCTGCCAGCACAGCAATCTGAAGTCGACCTGGGAAGCTCAGGCTTGCTGGGGGGAGCAGTGTCCACCATTACCGAGGCTTGAGTAGTCGGTTTTCCCCTCACAGTGTAAACAAAGCTGCTGGGAAGTTCAGACTGGGTGGAGTCCACCGCAGTGCCGCAAAGCCACAGTAGCCAGACTTTCTCTAGATTCCTCCTCTCTGGGCAGGGAATCGCTGAAAGAAAGGCAGCAGCCCCTGTTAGGGGCTTCTGGATAAAACTCCCATCTCAATCCCAGCACTTTGGGAGGCTGAGACGGGCGGATCACGAGGTCAGGAGATCAAGACCATCCTGGCTAACATGGTGAAACCCCGTCTCTACTAAAAAATACAAAAAACTAGCCAGGCAAGGTGACAGGCGCCTGTAGTCCCAGCTACTCGGGAGGCTGAGGCAGGAGAATGGCGTAAATCCGGGAGGCGGAGCTTGCAGTGAGCTGAGATCCGGCCACTGCACTCCAGCCTGGGCGACAGAGCGAGACTCCGTCTCAAAAAACCCCAAAAAAACAAAACAAAAAAAACTCCCATCTGCCTGGGACAGAGCACCTGGGGAAAGGGGTGGCTATGGGCGCAGCTTCAGCAGACTTAAACGTTCCTGCCTGTTGGCTCTGAAGAGAGCAGCGGATCTCCTAGCACAGTGCTGGAGCTCTGCTAAGGGACAGACTGCCTCAAGTGGGTCCCTGACCTCCTAGCCTCCTGACAGGGAGACACTGCCCAGCAGGGGTCGACAGACACCTCATACAGGAGAGCTCCTGTTGGCATCTGGCGAGTGCCTTTCTGGGATGAAGCTTCCAGAGGAAGGAGCAGGCCAGCAGTCTTTGCTGTTCTGCAGCCTCCACTGGTGATACCCAGGCAAACGGTCTGGAGTGGACCCCCAGCAAACGCCAGCAGATCTGAAGAAGAAGGGCCTGACTGTTAGAAGGAAAACTAACAAACAGAAAACAATAGCATCAACATCAAGTAAAAGGACATTCACAAAAAAAACCTATCCGAAGGTCACCAACATCAAAGACTGAAGGTAAATAAATCCACGAAGATGAGGAAAACCCAGCACAAAAAGGCTGAAAATTCCAAAAACCAGAATGCCTCTTCTCCTCCAAAGGATCACAACTCCTCACCAGCAAGGGAACAAAACTGGATGGAGAATGAGTTTGATGAATTGACAGAAGTAGGCTTCAGAAGGTGGGTAATAACAAACTCCTCCGAGCTAAAGGAGCATGTTCTAACCCAATTCAAAGAAGCTAAGAACCTCGATAAAAGGTTAGAGAAATTTCTAACTAAAATAACCAATTTAGAGAAGAACATAAATGACCTGATGGAGCTGAAAAACACAGCACAAGAACTTCGTGAAGCATACACAAGTATCAATAGCCGAATCAATCAAGCAGAAGAAAGGATATCAGAGATTGAAGATCAACTTAATGAAATAAAGCGTGAAGACAAGATTAGAGAAAAAAAGAATGAAAAGGAACAAACAGAGCCTCCAAGAAATATGGGACTATGTGAAAAGACCAAACCCATGTTTGATTGGTGTACCTGAAAGTGATGGGGAGAATGGAACCAAGTTGGAAAACACACTTCAAGATATTATTCAGGAGAACTCCCCCAACCCAACAAGACAGGCCAACATTCAAATTCAGGAAATACAGAGAACACCACAAAGATACTTGTCAAGAAGAGCAACCCCAAGACACATAATCGTCAGAGTCACCAAGGTTGAAATGAAGGAAAAAAATGTTAAGGGCGGCCAGAGAGAAAGGTCGAGTTACCCACAAAGGGAAGCCCATCAGACTAACAGTGGATCTCTCTGCAGAAACCCTACAAGCCAGAAGAGAGTGGGCCAATATTCAACATTCTTAAAGAAAAGATTTCTCAACCCAGAATGTCATATCCAGCCAAACTAAGCTTCATAAGTGAAGGAGAAATAAAATCCTTTACAGACAAGCAAATGCTGAGGGATTTTGTCACCACCAGGACTGCCTTACAAGAGGTCCTGAAGGAAGCACTAAATATGGAAAGGAAAAACTGCTACCAGCCACTGCAAAAACATATCAAAATGTAAAGACCATCGACACTATGAAGAAACCGCATCAACTAATGGGCAAAATAACCAGCTAGCATAATAATGACAGGATCAAATTCACACATAACAATATTAACCTTAAAGGTAAACAGGCTAAATGCCCCAATTAAAAGGCCCAGACTGGCAAATTGGATAGAGTCAGGACTCACTGATGTGCTATATTTAGGAGAACCATCTCATGTGTAAAGACACAGATAGTCTCAAAATAAAGGGATAGAAGATTTACTAAGCAAATGGAAAGCAAAACAAAACAAAACAAAAAAAGCAGGGGTTGCAATACTAGTCTCTGATAAAACAGACTTTAAACCAACAAAGATCAATAAAGAGAAAGAAGGGCATTACATAATGGTAAAGGGATCAATGCAACAAGAAGAGCTAACTATCCTAAATACATATGCACTCAATGCAGGAGCACCCAGATTCATAAAGCAAGTTCTTAGAGACCTACAAAGAGACGTAGACTCCCACACTGTAATAGTGGGAGACTTTAACCCCACACTGTCAATATTAGACAGATCAACGAGACAGAAAATTAACAAGGATATTCAGGACTTGAATTCAGCTCTGGACCCAGCAGACCTGATAGATATCTACAGAACTCTCCACCCCAAATCAACAGAATATACATTCTTCTCAGCACCACATCACACTTATTCTAAAATCGACCACATAATTCGAAGTAAAACACTCCTCAGCAAATGCAAAAGATCGACAATCATAACAAACAGTCTCTCAGACCACAGTGCAATCAAATTAGAACTCAGGATTAAGAAACTCACTCAAAACCGCACCACTACTTGGAAACTGAACAACCTGCTCCTGAATGACTTCTGGGTAAATAACGAAATTAAGGCAGAAATAAATAAGTTATTTGAAACCAATAAGAACAAAGACATAATGTACCAGAATCTCTGGGACACAGCTAAAGCAGTATTTAGAGGGAAATTTATAGCACTAAATGCCCACAAGAGAAAGCGGGAAAGATCATCGACACCCTAACATCACAATTAAAAGAACTAGAGAAGCAAAAACAAACACATTCAAAAGCTAGCAGAAGACAAGAAATAATTAAGATCAGAGCAGAACTGAAGGAGATAGAGACACAAAAAACCCTTCCAAAAAAGTCAGTGAATCCAGGAGCTGGTTTTTTGAAAAGATTAACAAAATAGATACACCACTAGCCAGAATAATAAAGAAGAAAAGGGAGAAGAATCAAATAGACACAATAAAAAATGTTAAATGGGAGATCACCACTGATCTCACAGAAATACAAACTACCATCAGAGACTACTATAAACACCTTTATGCAAATAAAGTAGAAAACCTAGAAGAAATGGATGAATTCCTGGACACACACACCCTCCCAAGACTAAACCAGGAAGAAGTTGAATCCCTGAATAAACCAATAACAAGTTCTGAAATTGAGGCAGTAATTAATAGCCTACCAACCAAAAAAAGCCCAGGAACAGACGGATTCACAGCCGAATTCTACCAGAGGTACAAAGAGGAACTGGTACCATTCCTTCTGAAACTATTCCAAACAATAGAGAAAGAGGGACTCCTCCCAAACTCATTTTATGAGGCCAGCATCATCCTGATATCAAAACCTGGCAGAAACACAACAAAAAAGAGAATTTCAGGCCAATATCCCTGATGAACATTGATGCACAAATCTTCAATAAAATACTGGCAAACCGAATCCAGCAGCACATTAAAAAGCTTATCCACCATGATCAAGTCGGCTTCACCCCAGGAATGCAAGGCTGGTTCAACATATGCAAATCAATAAATGCAATCCATCACATAAACAAAACCAATGACAAAAACCACATGATTATTTCAATAGATGCAGAAAAGGTCTTTGATAAAATTCAGCACCACTTCATGCTAAAAACACTCAATAAACTAGGTATTGATGGAATGTATCTCAAAATATTAAGAACTATTTATGACAAACCCACAGCCAATATCATACTGAATGGGCAAAAGCTGGAAGCATTCCCTTTGAAAACCAGGACAAGGCAAGGATGCCCTCTCTCACCACTCCTATTCAACATAGTATTGGAAGTTCTGGCCAGGGAAATCAGGCAAGAGAAAGAAATAAAGCATATTCAAATAGGAAGAGAGGAAGTCAAATTGTTTCTCTTTGCAGATGACATGATTGTATATTTAGAAAACCCCCTCGTCTCAGCCCAAAAACTCCTTAAGCTGTTAAGCAACTTCAGCAAAGTCTCAGGATACAAAATCAATGTGCGAAAATCACAAGCATTCATATACACCACTAATAGACAAACAGAGAGCCAAATCATGAGTGAACTCCCATTCACAACTGCTACAAAGAGAATAAAATACCTAGGAATACAACCTACAAGGGATGTGAAGGACCTTTTCAAGGAGAACTAGA